CAAGTGTTCAACAATCTTCCGGAAAATATAAAAAATATTAAAAGTGTAAATGCTTTTAAATTCAATCTAAAATTGTATCTTGTTGAAAAGTGCTTATATAGTACCGCAGACTTTTATACCTAATCAAGCATTACTTGTAACGTTTATTTACTCTTTTTTATATTATGTTTTATATATTTTATATATTTTTTTATATTTTTTTTTTATATATTTTGAAATAACTATAAATATAATAACAATTTTGCGGTGAAGCCGCAACAGTTAGCTTGTTTATTCAGCTTCAATTTGTTTTTGGAAAGGTCTCCGTGTGAGCATTGGTTACGTTTTTAATCATCGATATCTCAGCAATAAATCACTGCGCAGTAAATCCAAGTACGGTTTTGAAAACTTTAAATTCTCTACAAAGACAAGGACAAGGCTCGCGAAAAAAATTTTTAATTCCTCTCAAAACTTTGTTCATTTGGAACAGAATAACGGTTTTATGGATCAACTTATCAATTTACAGGATTATTATTGGTACAATTAGCTGTAAAAATTTCTCTCAGTTGTAGTATTTTCAATAATATTTGCAAATTAGCGGTATATTTTCAAAAAATTTGCACTCTGTTTAAATTAATGTCAACGATGAGAAAAAAAATGTTCGAAAAGCATGATAGGTTCTTGTAGAGAATTTATTTTCAAAACCGCCCTTGGAACTGTTGTGTAATAATTTGTTACTGAGATATCGATATTACATTATTGCTTCTTCCTTTCTCTCATTCTCCAGACAATTTTCAACTCTTTAATTCTCTAACTTGCTATTACTTTCTCATTTTTTAACTTTGTTGTTCCCCCCTTGTTTTTATCATTTATATCATTACTTTTATATTTTTCCTAGTTTTCTCAGGCGCTAAGTATTTTTTTACTTTTTCTGAAGATATTTCTACCCCCTCAGTTTTCCTATCGCTGTTTCTTTTTTTAATATCAGATAAATACCCTTCTTAAAACTCCATCTGCTCTACAACTTTATTGCAATGCCCAAGCAGACCTGTCTATTTTCAGTTGAGGGCCAAGTTATATCATAATTATTTGTTTAAAAAACTGTTACCACCGCGTAAAAAGACAAATCCCAGTCGATCCATTGGAAGTCTGGTCTTTATCAGTAAATTTTTCAATGCAAAAAACATGTCTTAAATATAAAGCAATGGAAAAAATGTTATCTGTACCTATACATATATTTTTTTCGTCCATGTTTCAGCCTAAATGTGCTGTCTACCGATTAGCCTTGTAAGGTTAAAACTATGTAAATTTTAATTTTATGTATCAAACATTTGTTAAATCTTAATAAGGTTTCCATTCCTTACGTCAAATATCATATGACTATGATTACTCCCTGTAATTGCAATAGTAGCTGTTTAAACAATATTGTTACGACCAACTTGGGAATTAGGTGAAAATAAAAAAAGTATCATTTTACACAAATAGTCCATTGTTGCAGCACATTGAACTTCAAAGCATTAAGATGATTTTTTAATATTTAAATTTTTGTTTTTATTTTTGTTAGACATTAAATGTAATTCTGACAACGATAGTGAACCTGTATGAAAATTTAAATAAAATCAAAAACTGAATAAAAATATCACAAAATATGTTTCACAATTTTAAATTTGTTTTTAAAGTGAGAATAATAGCTTTGCGACGTCGTGACCTCTACACTACAAAACGGCAACGTCACTTTGAACTTGACGCGAGCAAAGGTCGTTACTTTTACGTAGTTCAATTTTTATGTATGCTTAGTTGTAGTTATGTACATTTTTGTTAACATATATCAATAAACATTAAACGCTGATTTCGTTTATCTATTTGTCTTCTGGTATTTGACGTTACCGATAAATAATCATAGCCTATAAAAGCTATACATATATCTGCACTTTCCTGTAAAAGCATTGACGAGTGAGGTAAAAAATAAAAAAATTAAATTAATAGATTAAAAATTGTCTGTACATAAAATTCTTTTAATGAACCAATAGAAAATAAAATTATAAAATAAGTATCCGAGTACTTTCGTTAAGTTTATTTGTAATATTGTCATTTTATTGTAGTTTTAGTTGCTAGAAAGTTATTAGAAATTGATGAACACGAGGTTGCTGAAATTAATAAAAAAAATAATTAAATTTATTCATCAAGACACAATACATCACAGTACACAAAAAATATAAAATAGATATACTTCGATTATGTCCCGAAAACACTATGATGGAAATAATAAACACATACAGCATTATTATTACATAGAAAATAAAGGTTTTTATTTAAGAACGCAAATTATGAATATGTTTTGGAATTGTTTCAATACTTTTAAAAACCAGAAAATTAACATAGAATGTCATTTGTAAGGAATAATAGTGATACAATGAATGAAAATCAGTTTATTCACTGAAAATGACGAAATGTGGAAAGTTTTTAGTGGCATATTATTTATTTAAATAAGGCCTAAATTGACATTTGCACCCCACTATATTTACTAGTTTAATACCTGATAGAGATACGTGATATACAGGGTGATTTTAATTCCACTGATAAAGCTAATTTATGTGATCTGTTTCAAGCTTATAATATTGACATGTTAGTGAATGAGCCTACAAGAATATCGAAAAATAGTTCATCATGTATTGACTATATTTGTATAAACTTTGATCATTTGAATGTACTAAAATGTGAAGTGTTACATGATGGGCTATCAGATCATTCATCGCAACTACTTCACTGTAGGTATGTAAATATTAAACAAAAATCTGAAAACGGTCATTACAAAAGAAATTATAGCTCCGAAAATTATGAAACATATTATAATCATTTGAAAAATGAAACGTGGAATGAAATTCTAAATGCTGTGCAAATAGATGAGGCTTATGAATTATTTATCAACACACTCTGCTATTATCATGATATAAGTTTTCCTATTTCTCTAAAATATCACAAAAAGGTGAATAAATTGTGGATGACGCGGGGTATAAAAGTATCATCACAAAAGTTAAAATTTTTATATCAATTAAAAATAGCTACCAATAATCTAAATGATATATACTATTATAACAAGTATAAAAAAATTTATAAAAAAGTAATTTCTGCGACAAAAAAGTTATTTAATGATTCGTTTTATAATAAATCTGAAAATAAGTCTAAAGCAGCGTGGACTATAATCAATAAAAATGTGTCTAATAATAAAATAAAAACGCCTATCACGGAAATATCAGTAAATGAAGAAGTTACATCTGATCCTTTAATAATTGCTCAACATTTTAATAAATATTTTAGAGATTTACCTATTAAACTGAATGATGAATTAGGAGTTACTCAAAAATTAAATTTTAAAGTAAATTTGGCATATCCTACGATCTTCTTGGAACCAGTGTGATAGTGAAATTTACAATATTATAATGAATTTAAAAAACTCTAAATCCACTGGACTTATTAAAGAAGTCAGTTCAGTTTTTGATAGTTCCATTGCTACATCTGATAAATATGTCTCTGGGTGAGGGCATTTTTCCAAACGTTCTTAAAATATCAAAGGTTGGTCCTCTATACAAATGTGGTGATACTTCTCCAATGGGAAATTATAGACCTGTGGCACTTTTTTCGACTGTATCTAAAATATTAGAACGAGTTGTTTTTAATAGAATCTTAAAATTTATGGAAAATTTTAATATATTGTCAGAAGCACAGCATGGTTTTCGGAAAAATTCATTCTACTCAAACTGCAATAATGTCTTTTATAGAAAAATTATATGAAAAACTTAATGAAAATTTAAAGTGTGTTGGTTTGTTCATGGATTTAAGTAAAGCATTCGATTTGA